CGCTACTTTGTAAGGTTTTCGCATGTTGACGACCGAGAGGCCTCGCAGTCTTGTGAGTTTCCTCCTCTGCCGGATCTTGTTTTCCGAGTTTCATGATCAGTAGAGTGTTTAGTTGTATTTTTAGTCATGATGATTAACTAGGGATGCTGTATGAGCCTTTAATACATTGGTTTCCCGTTGCCTTATGCATCTCTACGCCGTTGACCATGTCTGGTTCGTCCGCCTTTAGAAATGATTTTCCATTTCTAGGACAAGAAGGTGCCCTTCCACTTACCGACTCTTCCACCCGAAGCCTCTCTTCGACCAACTGTAATTTTTTTCTCAATTCTGCTCTATTTTTTCTTGCCTTTCTTCTGCCTGATTTTACTCGACTAGTTGAAGGAAGTGAATTTAATAATTCATTCCCGTTTTCGCTTGCCTATGGGCTGTTTTTTTATTTACAAATTCCTGCATTTCCTTTGCTTTATTTTTTTTTATCCACACATCTTTTATATCCTTCTCTCCAGTTTTTTCTAACTCTTCTTTGATCTCTTTCACTCAAATCGATAACCAATTTAACTTTTCTTTCGTTCCCTTCGTTCATGCGATCTCTGGCGTTCTTTAAGTTTTAATTGTTCATATAAATCCTTATCTTCATTAATCTTATCTCTGGCTTTTTACATGCTCTCTTCTTCTTCTTAATTTTACTTCTGATTCTGTTGATTTTTTCTTGGAATTCATTTGGCCTGAAATAATAAAAAAAATCTAGTAGTGGGCTTCTTCTTCTTCTGGTTCCTATCCGTTTCGGATGTTGGAAATCATATTGGCAATCATAACCTTGCTCGCTGCGGCTCGAAACAGCTCCGTTGAGGTTTTCTTAAACCATGTTCTTAAATTCCGCAGCCATGATATTCTCCTTCTACCGGGTCCTCGCTTACCTTTGACTTTACCTTGCAATATAGACTGTAGCAGGGAGTAACGGTGCTCATTTCTCATAACGTGTCCCAGATATTGCAATTTTATGCGTTTGATTGTAAACACAATCTCTGGTTCCTTCTTCATTTTTCCTAGAACTTCCTTGTTCGTGATCCTTGCTGTCCATGATATTCTCAGCATTCTTCTATAAAGCCACATCTCAAATGCTTCAAGTTTTTTAATAGTGGTGTCTGTAAGCGTCCATGCCTCCTGCCCCGTACAACAACACAGAGAAAACATAGCATCTCAAATGTCTCATTTTTGTATCAAGGGATATGTTGTGACTTTTGAAGATGGCGCTCATTTTGTTAAAGACCGTTCTTGCCTTTCCCATGCGGCACTTTATTTCCTGTAAATTGCTCCACTGTTCGTTAATTATAGTTCCCAGGTAACAATACTGTTTTACTCGCTCTATCTGCGTCCCATTAATGTATAGATGAGCCCCGTTTATATTTATCCTTGCTGATAATCATTTGTTTCGTTTTGTGGGTATTAATGTTTAGTCCGTACTGTTGACTGTACTCGTTTATTCTGTCCATTAGCCTCTGAAGTCCCTCTAAACTATCTGCTATCACCATGGTGTCGTCGGCATATCTAACATGTTTACTCTTTCACCATTTAGAAGGATGCCTTCGTCTATTCCGTCAAGAGCCTCGTTAAAAATTTTCTCTGAGTACATATTAAATATCAACGGCGATAGGATACATCCCTGTCTAACTCCACGTAGTATTTTTATGTGATCTGTTTCTTCTCCGTTAATTTTCATGTATGCGGTCTGATTCCAGTAGAGTTCTGAAATTATTCTGAGGTCTTTGTCATCCAGGTCTGCCTCTTTTAAAATGTTTATCATCTTTTGATGTTGAACTCTGTCAAATGCCTTTTCATAGTCGATCAAGCACGCGTATACGTCGCAGTTAACGTCCCTGCAATCTTTGAATCAGTACCTGTACTCCGAAAAGTGCCTCTCTGGTACCCACTGCGTTAATGAAGCCGAACTGTCTGTCCGATATTTGTTCCTCGCACTTCTTATAAATTCTTCCATGGATGACTCTTAAGAAACAGTTTCAACATGTGGCTCATTAGGCTGATTGTTCGATATTCTTCGCACTTTTTAGCCCCCTGTTTTTTAGGTATCGCTATGAATTCTGATTCTAGCCATTTTTCAGGATGATTCCTGTATTGTATATTTTATTGAAGACAGCCGTGATCCAAATTATTCCTTCTTCCTGCAAGAGTTTTAAAAATTCAGCTTCGATATTATCAGGCCCTACAGCTTTCCTGCTTTTCATCCGTTTTATTGCTTCTTCTACCTCGGATTTAAGTATGTCCGGGCCCGTCATCCTCTCTGAAAATGGATGCCTATAATCCGTTCTTTGATCTTGAAAAAGTGTCTCCAAATATATTCTCCATTGGTCTTTCATCTCTTGGGTGTCAATGATTAATTTTCCATTGGTGTCTATGAGTTTCATTTGTGTTCGCTTTTTAAAAGTACCCGTTATTTCTTTTACCTTTTTGTGTACATTAAAATTGTCATGCTTGTCTTGTAGTCTTTCTATTTCTTTACATTTCTCTACAGCTTCTTTTTCTTTAGCTTCTCTTATTTTTCTTCTGATGTAAGCCTGCATTTTTTTTCGCCTTTTTAGTAGTGGGCAGACAAAATAAATTCGAAAACATTCTTCGGCTCATGTGAATCAAACATGATTATTTCAGATTATTTCTTTATACACTGACTGATTATCAGGCCAGTTAAGCCAGCTAGAAAATTAAATCTGTTGAATAAATGAAGAAACCGAATACATACTATCCTATACATAAAAATGTTTCTACTGCTAAATTTTGTTTCTACTGCACTATTATTTTTTGTTTCAGTTAGTATAACAATTGAAGAACTATAGTTTTTTCTGTTATTTTAAACAATGTTAACACATATATTTGTCATAATTAAACATAAAAAAGTCAATGTAGTTTTGTACCTGGGACAGTAAAAGAAGAATTATTTTGAGAATGACCCATTTCCATGTTTCACTCTTATTTCCGCAACTAGTATTCTTTCGTTACATATCTTTTACCAATTATGTTCTTTACCCTAATCTGGTTTGACTATTAGTCCCAAAACTGCTGCTCTCTTGTAGCTATTTTTATGAATATTTTTTCTTCTCGCTTTTTTTGTTTTATTGTACGTTTTTCTCCTACTTTTAGATTTATGAGTGGTTTTACTAATTTTATTGTCTATTTTAATCACATCTTTTTCTTTGCCATATTCATCATGTTTGCTTTTCCATACCATTTTACTTTTTATTGCTAGTTTTTTTCTTATTTCTTTGTTTTTCTCATGCTCTGTTGTGGTCATATTATGATTTACATACATGTTAAGTTTGCTTAGCTTGTCTTTATTTTTACATAATCATTTCTTTTCTTCGTTTCCGATTTCGATCAAGCAAGTTTTTCCTCCTAATTTGTGTGTTGATTATACATTTAAATATATTTGCAATTATTGTTTAATATATTCCCCATGGCTAGTTTAATTCTTTTATTTTTTGGTCTTCGCTCCTCAATAAGTAATGTTCTTAGTTGTTTTGTTTGTTTTCCAATTGTCTAGTGTCTGTTTTAAATTCTTTAATGATCTTCATTTTCTTAATATTAAATTCTATTTTCTTGAGGATCTGACGTATTTCATGAAACTGGTCAAATTTTGAGTTTTTTGGAGTGAATCAGGCCTAGTATTTTCCAATTAAGCCCATTGTGTAAACTTGTAACCTTTTATAGTACTATTTGATAATATTTTGTAAGCAATTGTTAACAGTTGTCACACTAGAGGTGGTCCCTTTTTTATGTAATGGACATATCACGTCTTGAGGCCATTCACAGGGCATGGTCTCATTTTTTCAGACAATAAATAAAAGCTTATGCAGTATCTGTAGCAGTGTATCGCCACCATTCTTGTAGAGCTAACTGTAAATTTGGTCAGTTCCTGCTGATTTAATATTTTTAAGCCTTTTATGGCTTGGTCAACCTCTTCAATGTTAGGTGGTCTTTTGTTTGGGTTCGTAGATGACTAGAGATCTGCTAGTGTGTTTTCTGCTTATTCGATATGACGGCTATTAAATTTCTCTAAAACTTTTCTCAAATTTCTTTTTTTTTTTCTGCTATAACTGGTTTGGTTTTCGCTAATATTTCCGTTGTCTTCTCGGTAGCTTGTGACGTCAATGAGACCGGAAGAATGCCTTGCACCTATCAGGATGTTATCTATCTGGTTAACAGTGTCGATGTCAGGGGATTTTCATGTTCCTTTGTGTATCATTTTATGAGGAAATTTTGTTCCTGATAATATCATGTTTTTGATGCTCGCAAAGTTTATTATATTATAGTTTGACTCTTCATGTAATCTATCACGTCCTATAGTTGGCTGGAAAAATTTGTCTTTGCTAATTTTTGCATTAAGGTCCGCAGCAATTATTTTCACGGCATGACGTGGACATCGATCTTATTCTTTGTCTAAGGTGTCATAGAATTCATCTTGTTTGTGGTTTTCCTTTGCTCCGTAGGTGCGTATACACCAAGTAAGCTATAATTAAAAAAATTCCCTTTAAGACGTAGATAATACATTCTGTTAATGTGACTAGAAAACCACTGCCAAACTCGTGTCGGGTGATATATCCGCTACAGTGTATCTTGCAGTCTCTTCTCTCGATTATTCCTGAACCAGTCCATCTCGTCTCTTGAATCGCTATTACATCGACTTTCAGTTTAACCAGTTCTTGTGCCAGCAATCTAAGAGTGGCTGGGGCATAAATGGTTTATACATTCCATGTGCAGATGTTCCATAGAGTTGCTCAGGTTACGGAGGTGAAAGTCGGGATTGAGTAGGAGAGGCTAGTGACACTAACAGGATACAGCGTCATATTTTGCGCATCACTACCCCATTTGAACTCCACAAACTTTAAAATATAATATATATTTTTTTAATATTAACTATCATTCTCCAGAAATCAACTGAAAAATTCATTTTATTTCTTAGACTTTTAATTTGTTTTAATTTATTTGTTATGGTATGTTGTCACGTTCATATATTTCTGTATTATTAATTCTGTTAAGAACTAAACATATTTGATATTGCAATTTTATTTCATTTTACAATGAAAATCAAAACAGCAATTAAAAATATGGAAATTTACCGAAATGCGATGACTACTAACTGCGTTTAGTGACAAAAGCTTAGTCACCAAATGCATAATAAAATATCTATATTTTTTTCACAGACCTTGGACTTTAACTTCAGGGTTTATCAGTAATAAATAATGTGTGAAAATTTCAATATTTGTCACGCCTTTTGTTGCGTAAATTTGATTTTTTAGTAGAAGTTTCTTAATTGGCATCACTGATGTAAGAGCGAAATAAGAAAACAAAATTTTTCTATACCATATAAAGGTGCAGATTGGTCTGTAATTAGAATGTCTCCTATATTCTGCATGAGAGCCTCTTCCAGTAAAATATAACAGTTATGTACTGGCATTTTCTTAGTATTGTTTGCAGTTAAAACCCTTAATAACAAAACAAATCAATTTATAGTTTTATTATTTTTTACAGTAGTGATTAATTTTAATTGTTTTATGTAATTGAATAATTGTATTCAAATGTACAGTGTGTACCAGCCAAATTTAATAAATTTACTATTTCAATAATATAATATTTCAAAGTAGATAACAATAGGCGGAATGATTTGGAAATGGAATACCAGCAAACAAGAGCTAATAAAAATATAAATAAAAAACCTAAAACAGAGCCAAAGGAGAAAAATAATGGAAACTAAAAAAAAAATCATACTTGGAATGTGAGAGGCACTTTCGAATAGGAGGCTCTAAAACAGTCTTAAACGCTCTTAAGAACCTAACAAAAGGAAAATTTACTCAATAGATGTAAACGGAAAGATTTTTTTCAGTAGTGGAGGGGATGCCAGAATGGTGGGAGTAGGTTTTATGCAGAAAGCAAATAAAAACATAATAAACGGTTTTAATCTAATTTCAGAGAGAATTTGTAGTCTTAGAATAAAAACGAAAGAACATTTTGTAAGTATCCTGAATGTACATGTGTACATAAAGAGGACAAAGACAATGAGGCTTTTTATGAAAAGAGAAATTAGCAAAACGAGATATAAAGCTAATAATAGGAGATTTCAATGCAAATATTGGAAGGAAGTAATGTATATGTCAGTAATAGGCAGTTTTAGCAAACACGACATTACTCATGATAACGGACAAACACTAGTAAACTTAATAGTAAAAGCAACAACAGAAGGAATGTCTGTTAAATGCACGAAATTTGCCCATGAAGACATTCCCATAAGAGTATGTGCTTATTCAATAAAAAGATGGTAACAGATACAAGATTTTACAGAGGAGCAGATGCAGTCAGCGATCATTTTATGATAATCGCAAAATAACAAAACCTTTCAAAGAAAAAATAAAACCAATTAACCCTAGAAGCAACTTTAAATATACAACAGATCAACGTGTTAATTTAAATTTTTTATATATACACCGGTATTTAGGCGGCACGCCCTTCCGGTGGAGATCGATGGAGGAGTATCACCGAGTCGCAAGCCCTTATCTCGTGCCGTACTGCTCCACGATAGGCCGATCAGACACCAGCATATTTTAGTCTAAATCGCAGATTCATCTAGAATTTTAAACTGCTGCGTTAGCCTTTTTGTTTTCTGTACACCGAGCTGGGGATCTGAACCACTCGCAGTGAAGCGAATGACAACCGGCCTCCCAGCCCGCTTGGCTATCTGACCAACATTTAAATTTTTTGCACTCAAATAAAAAATTATGTCAAATTTTCTAGTGAAACTTTCAGGTGACCCTTGAAAACACTCATTGTTACCAAGGCTTAAAATATAAGTAATGTAAAAGTTAGCATTTTATAAAAATATAAACGACAGTAATTGTTTGTATACAAACTTCTTGACATATTATAGTCATCATTCTAAATTTTCAAAATTACAGAGGTACCAACCTTACATTTTTGATCAATTCCGTCAACCCGATGGCCAATGGGACCCTTCAGCAGCCCCAAATCCTCCTACCGTTCCTGCTAGGGGTGTCAAGAGAAACACCCCAAGCGAATTATCGCATTCATATGAAGAATCTTCCTGGGTAAGTATTTTCATAATTTTTTTATATATAACTATAACATTTATACCAACAACAGTTTTCAAGTATTTGAAGATAATGATAACTTTAAGTGTATTAACTGCTTTACAAGTAAATTTTGGACCGATTTTAAGTGGACGCTGTTTTATTTTAAAGTGAGTACTCCTATCGCTCGGTATGATGTTTTGGACGAGTGCGGAAATCCTATTTAGCGTGAATCGAAAAATTGAGACGGGTGTAGGAACCTTGCGGTATACCGTAATATACATAACTAAATACACTTATTATAATTTCATGTAATATATTTTTTATAACAACTCGAGAATTGGATAATTTTGATTTTAAAATATTTTTATGAAATAAAATAAAATAAATTAAATATAAAATTATATCAAATTCAATAAAATTAAATACAGGTAAATAAAATTAACTAAAAATAATTATTATTTGCAAGAAGTAATGTAAGACAATGAAATGAGTTACCGAGCAAGAAACCCGCAGAAAGACATTTGTTTTCTCGTTACGAGTGAAAAAAAAATATCCAATAAAAAATAAATAAAATAATATATTTATATGGGATTAAGTCACAAGTGATTGTAATGAAAGTTAAATTTTAGATTTCTTTTTGTCGTTTCGATTTCCATTCCGGAAATTGTTTTCAAAATCAAAGAAATTTAAATTAAAATAAAAAGGTTATTACACCTGTTGTTGTTTATTAGTTGGTGCTCCTTTTTAATAATATACAACAACTGTTGTAACAACATCCTTATTTTAATTTAAGTTAATTTTTTTTTAAAGGTAATTATCATTGCAATCAATTCAAAACAGTTTCAGAACCTCTTTAAATCCAAATTGTAATAGTCCAGTCGTTATAGACGAAAATTCCGCTCAACCTCTAAAAATCATACGAACAAGCTGTTTGTAAAATGTTTCAAACAAAAAATGTAGCTGAGATAATTGTGGACAAAAAAGTTCCTTAGAAGTTTTTTGTTTTAGTATAAAAGAGTTATATTAGTAATAATATTTATGACAATTATAATTTTTATTGCTAAATGCTTAATACAAAATCCCCTTATTCGTCGCTGTCGTCAACGTCTAAATTTTCAACGATATTTTAAACAACTCGATAGATTGCCTAAAGGGCAAACTGGAATCAAGAGACAATTTGGTTTCAAAGGATGTGAAATGATGCTAAAATTTTTTTTAGCATTGCATTGATAGCATTGATTTCCGTTACCCAATTTAAGGAATTTTTTTTCTTCGTTGGAGTAGTGAGGCCTACTGGAAGGGTCAGAACGTCAATGTCCTCAGCTACTTTTCTGGTTTGGTTTAGAGATTCTTGGAAAATCGCTGTTTTCCGTTTTCCCCTGAGCCGGGGAAGGGGAGAAGGTTTAGGTTAGATTAAGTTGACATCCACAGCAAAATCCAGCTCGTTCGTCTCGTTTTTAGAGATCAAATCTCTGACGACTAAACGATACGTTTTCATTATAATTAGGTATGAAATTATCGACTTAAATAATACACTGTGGTGAAAGTAAAAATACGATTTTAAGTGATATCTGTCTGTACATCTATTTAGTGGACTAGGTAATATCAGTACAAAAATAGAACAGAATTACGCATTCCTTATTGTTTATAAATTATAATGGAACCTATTTGCTCACAAAATAACATAAATTAACATTTTCTACTAATACGAAAATAAAAACATGTTACCTTGCATTATTAACAAGCATCAGCGATCCTCATTCGCGTTTTAAATTAACAGGATTAGTTACTTCGATAGGATTTTCACAAATCCACTAGTCTTTTGTTTTTCGTTTGATAAACATTGTTTTTATTTTATGTATAGTCCAGGCGTTTGTTGGCGATTAGTAGTAGTTAGTACTATAGCAGTTACTTCATGTAAAGTTTGCAACAATTTTTTTCCAGCCATTTCCATATATTAATTTTCTCGTGATAATCGACCGATTTGAATTTTGGCTAAAACACGATATATATATATATATATATATATATATATATATATATATATATATATGTATATATATATATATATATATATATATATATATATATATATAGTGAACGGCTAAAGTATGGAATATTATCATTATTTCGAGAACCGTTGAGTTTTGAGGGAACTCCCGAAACGATATATTTATGATTTTTAATGGTGATTTTAAATTAAATTCAACAAAGTCCAATAATGTGACTGAAGAAAGTTAGTGTCTTATACCAACAAAGAGAAGAAGTAATTAAGACAGGTGCCGTATCGAAAGTGACAGTCGATACGACACATGACTTAATTAACAATTGTCTTGTCAAAAAAATGCCGGCCACATGGTTATATTAAAATAGAATAAATTTAAATATTTAATGTAAGCTTTGTTTACCATCTTCCTCTAGTTGGGAGACGCGTTTGGTTTTGTGTTTAAGAACAATGTGTAGTTGCACATCTAGAATATTTTACACTAAGAAATAGTGTCAACGTTAAGGTAATATTAAAAATAACATCTTTAATTATGATGATTCTAAAGAATGTTTTTCCATTACAGCAAGTTCTGATGAAGCCTAAAATTATGTGGCGAAAGCTTGACTTTTAATAAAAGACACTCACTTTGAAACACCCGTTTTTTATTGCTTCCTTAGTATTGGGTCGTTCCCGGTTACCTTCAACTGTCTGTTGTTTACCAGTAGCCCGATACTGTCCTCGACTTTCTTTATATATATATATATATATATATATATATATATTATATATATAATATATATATATATATTATTCCATTTCATCACATCGGATGTTTTATTATTTTAGTTAGATTTGGTCTACATGTGACTTTGAATAATATTCTGATGTCAATATTCTATACCGTATTGTGGAAGTCATTCAGCCCGTTTTCTAAATAGAAATGTCAAACTAAATGTCAGTCACAATTGTAATTATAATTAAATTCAATTGCTACTTTTATGAAAACGATCATCTTAACAAAAATATGAAGGGACTATTACCGCCCAGAATGCTAAAAAATGGCATATTTTCAACAATTATTTTGTATTTTATCTATTATATATGGCAATCAAACTTTGTTTTATACTATACAACTTTTGAAGACTACAAAATTTTTTTTATTGTTCCTGTATTTGGCGCTAAGAATTTTTCCCAAATGACTGCTCCATGGCGGACAGTTAATCTCTGGTCTCAGTTAATGAAACGACAAATATGAAATATAAAATTTAAGAAGCGTTTTAAAAAAGAAGTGCCCTTACGTGATAATTTGCCAGGCAAATAGAAAATTCTTGAAAAGAAATAAAATGGCAGACATTTGAAAAAATTGTTCAAAAACTAACCATATTTTCGACATTTTTCAGTCACAAAAATTTTATTATTTTTTTTTGTCAAATTGTCGTAAACTATCATAAAGAAAACCAAAGCAAACAAAATGCATCAAGTTTTATTAAAATCGACCGACTATGGAGATTGAAGTTTTGAGAAAAACTACGATCTTAAATCTGGCGGACAATTAATAAGAATATTATTCAATGTCACATGTAAAACAAATTCAACTAAAATAATAAAATATCGTATGGGATGAAATGATAAGTGAGCAAGTCCCCAGGAGTGGATTGTATCCCCGCAGAGCTCATCAAACATGGAGGTAACAGCATTATGCACCAAATTCACAACATAATAGTCAAAGTCTGGGAAGAAGAACAAATGCCAGAGGAATGGTGCACTGGAATCATATGTCCACTACACAAAAAGGGAGATTTGTTGGAATGTAAAAATTATAGGGGTATAACTCTTCTGAATACAATATACAAAATATTCTCCAACACCCTGTACAGCCGTTTAAGTACGTACGTGGAAGAAATCCTTGGTGAGTATCAAAGCGGTTTTAGGCCAGGTAGGTCAACAATTGACCAGATTTTTGTGCTACGTCAAATCTTAGAAAAAACCAATGAATTTAATATTGACACGTTCCATCTCTTTGTGGACTTTAAGTCAGCGTATGATAGCGTCCTAAGAGGTAAATTATACGAAGCCATGAATGAACTTAACATTCCCCATAAATTAATAAGGCTCGTAAAAACAACTATGAGTAAAGTGATCTGCAGAGTGCAAATACAAGGCGATATGTCACAAGCGTTTGAAACATATGCAGGGTTACGGCAGGGAGACGCGCTGGCGTGCCTTCTCTTTAATATAGCGTTAGAAAAGACTATAAGAGATGCCGAGTTACACAATAGGGGAACAATCTTTAATAAATCAACGCAGATTATGGCGTACGCTGACGATTTGGATTTGATTGCACGTACTACACGAGGACTTAAAGAGATGACTTCCACCTTCTTGACAGCCGCACAAAATATGGGCCTTAAAATAAACGAGGAAAAAACCAAAATGCTAGCATCTATTCCAAATAACAGAGATAGAGCTAGAAACGCCGAACAAAACTTCAGTATAGACCAATATAATTTTGAGGTAGTAAATAAGTTTACATATTTGGGTTCTTTCATAACAAACGATAATGACACATCTGAAGAAGTTAAACGGAGGGTACTGCTAGCAAACAAATGTTATTTTGGACTAAGCAAGCAGCTAAAAAACAGAAATTTAAGCCAGAAAACCAAACTAATAATATATCGAACACTCATCCTACCAGTGCTGACATATGGGTCAGAAACATGGACCATCTCCAAAACAGACGCAAATCTTCTGCTCGTCTTCGAAAGGAAGATACTAAGAAGAATAATGGGCGCATTCTGTGAGAATGGTATTTGGAGAAGGCGATATAATTTCGAATTGTACGAGAAGTATAAAAAAATAGTAAATGGTAGAGATGTAATATCCTTCATAAAAATAGGTAGGCTTAGATGGGCTGGACATGTGTCAAGAGCAAATGAAAATTACCCACCCAGACGAACTCTATTATCGGTCCCAGTGGGAAATAGGAGTAGAGGCAGACCCCGACTAAGATGGAGGGACGGTGTGGACG